ATCAGTTAAAAATAATTAAAAATCACATATAAAAAGTTAATTCGATACGAAGATATTGTGGTTCTCTTTTCAGGAATGTTGCCCTCACCTTACTCCTAAAGTCGTCAACAAACCATCCCYTGCTAATATTGATTTCGACATAGCCAAATTTTAAGTCAAAAGTTCACTAGTTTTCGAATTCGTAAAATTGTGTTCGGTACGTACTCTAGACAAGCTACCTGTCAAAATTGGTCTMTGATATTGATTTATACCCGAACTTTATGAATGCAAACATTCGTTTCATTGATTTTTAATTACGTTACATAGTTGTCGTATTCGATTACCAACTTTGTTCATATCTACACAACATATACTAGCAATACGATCACTTATTGGTGGTGGGTCAACAAATCGAGCAACAAGTCAAAATGGGCTCGAGTCAAATGTTACAAAGTCAAAATAACGAGTATTGTTGCACATCCGAACACCCTCAAAACTAAAGATACATCCATTCAAAAAAACCAATTTTCTTATATCTGATTATTTTAATCTTAAAAATCATATAAGAACAAAATCAGGCTTCTAAAACATGCCAAAAACAGATATTTTGTAAAAAAAATTCTAAAATTTGTTTAAATTTATTACATGTATTTAAAAACATAATTACAATAATTTTAATTCTCGAAAACAAAATCAGTATTATAATAAGGCCAGGAGAGTAGGTGCAACCCCAACCACAGATATTMTTGGAGAAACAAAGTCTTTAAAGTTATAAATAGTTAAATAATTTTACAAATAAATTAATAACTTATTTCCTTTTTTCCACATCTCATCTGATTATCGTAACTGTTAAAATTCAACGCAAAATTAGAACAGAAGACGACCACCTTCTCCTATTTATCTATATGCAACGAAATATCTATTTATCGATCAATTTCTTAACACTTTTTTAAATTAATTGTTTTTTTTTTTGGGCAAAAAAAAGTTTATTGCCGACAACCATAATCCGTCTCCAAATGACACCAATGTGAGTGGACATTTTTTGACTCACTCAGCGATTGAGGCTAGCACACACTGTAAGTGAGATTTAACCAGAATATGTCTTGTATCTGGGCAAAGTGGTCATTTTTCTTACCAATGTCTTGTATCTGGGCAAAGTGGTCATTTTTCTTACCAAGTGTGCCACACTTTAGATGTTATATTTGATTGGTTTGATTTAAAATTTAATTTTTTATAATATTTTTTACATTATTTTTAACAAAAAAATCATTTTTATAAGTTTATTTAAATTGAAATAAATTTTAATTAAAAAAATTGTAAGGCTTCTATTTCTGTGTACCATGTACTATTAGTTGATGATGGCATGTTTAGAATCTTAAAAGGGAATGTGAGAGGCAAATTCACATGCAGATGGATGATTTTTCATCGGCTGTGATGCCGGTGCATGCTGCTATCATGGGTCCTATTGGCTGACAGTTACCACGTTTATGTACCCTCGTCGTACCCGACCCCACCTCATCCTCTCCAACCCACTCTTCCTTTCATTTTTTCTTTAAAATTAATTTTAAAAAATCTAAAAAAATCTAAAATAGAAAACGATCTACGTCCGTTTGATTTTATAGGATTGTTTTTGAGAGATTTGAATTTTATGAATGGATTTAAAATCATTCGTATTTGATATGTAGGATTTGAAATGAAATTAGATTCTATTATTTATAAATAATTATAAAATAATTAAATTAAATTTTTATTAGTCGATTATTAAAAACAAATGTTTTTAAAACCTTATTTTATACAATCCTATGAAATYCCGAGTACTCCCTAAGAATTTCAAAATCCTATGTTTGTAGTAGGATTTCAAATCTGGACAATCCAACAAAACAAACATGAGATTAAGATGAATTTAAAATCCAAATCGTCCCAAATTCATTCCATTGGACATGAGTGATTCAACTCAACCCATCCCAAATTCAAGTCACTCTGTTTCACAATTTTAAAAAAGTTTTTGGTTTTTACTGAACCTGTTTAACAACAATCTAATAATTTTCCCATTTTACCCTCATAAAACATTGTATTATTTTTTTATATCTTTTTATGATGTTTCTTTATGATAATTGAGTAGGGTGAACATTTTATGGTACCATGTTTTTGACTAATGCTATGTATCGGTCAACTTATAATTGGGTTGAAAAGGTTTCTCTCAGTACCAAATAAATTTACTTATATGCCACTGATTCAATTGGTACAAAGTTTTTTTAATAACCTGGATATCCAACCCGCTATACAAGCCGACTAATCTTAGGACGACTACCCGCTTTATGGGTAGCCCGAAGTCACGCATTTGAACCTCTGTGGTCATAAATGGAATTTTATTCCTCCTTAGATTTGAACTTGGGACCTCTATTCACTTTTGACCTTTTGAGCCCAAGCTCAAACCAATCGGGCACCACCCTTGTGGTTTGGTACATAGTTTTTCAGTTGGTACAAGTCGGTAATTGTACTATACCATTGTCGCAAACCTGTAAAGTTGAATATGTAAAAACAGACAAAAATACGAACAATGGGAATCAAATAAATGTGTAATCGCCTATATATACCATATACAATAAATTAAATCATTTTGCAAGTATCAATTTGTAAGGTTGCCATGATCCCTTTACTCACTCTTTGAGGTGTACCCTCCGGTCTTAGGACACGAGTACAAACTGTCACAAAAATGTCTGGAATAATCATAAGGTTGGAAACTGACGAATTAGCTTTATCTGATCACATAAACTGAAATCTTTCACTAGAAGCACAATAACATTGGCATCGGCTAATAAGAGCATGGAGAAAGTTAAGAACTTATCCGACTGTAAAAAATAATGAGCTTAACTGAATATGAACAAAACCATGGGAATGCTATTTTCATATGAATATGATTGAACCACGATAAAAACCATTTTAAGTTAACATAAAACAAAGCACAAAACCATCAAGAAGACCATTTTAACTCAAACTTGTACACTGATAGGAAAGAACCTGTAATAAAGCTCCATACAACGAAGAACCTTGTATCCGAGCTCTCTTGGAATAAGTTCGGCAGCGGATCACGAAATCTATAAATGAAGTACCACTGTGAAATTAGAGACTGAATTGGCTTGTATTGTTGGATAATATGAAGAAGAAGAAGGAGCACCAGTGAAGAACCTTGTGTAGAAGTTGTGTTGCAGTAGCAGTGACGGGCAAGCGAGCAGTAACGGCGTGTTAGAGAGCTATCTATTTTTTATTTGTGTCATCGAGAAGAAAGGGATAATAAAGAAAATAATTTTTAAGGGTTATTAACATTTGTTTCCATTTCCTTCTGCATTTAGGATGAAAGTTTAAGAAACAAACTTATCAAAAAAAGATCCTAATCATTTTCTTTTTTATCTTAAAACTTTTCGAGAATACAAATTCTTTTTCCTCACAGTTTCTTGTCAACTCCTTCGTGAAAAATGTCTCAAGAATACAACATTAGAGTTACCTAGTTATGGTTGGAAAGTAGAAATGGAAAATTGCAAAAAGGTGGGTTCAGATACAAGCTGTTGTCAAAGCCCTGTGACAATGGAGGTTCACCTACGATAACTCCAAGGCATTTTGTGGTCACCTGGAGGATTAGTCGGTGCACGTAAGCTGACCCAGAAACCGACTTTGCATTATTGTTACCCGAAAAGAGGTGGTATAAAAACTAATTTTCTTTTAAAACGTTTAGTGGGTTTGTTGTAAGATATTAATTAAATATATAAAACTCAGTTCAATAAAATAATACCAGAATATTCAGTTTTTTTACAACTTGTATCAACTTTGCATTAAGTCAAAACTATTGACACCAAATCAATTGGTATGGTTGATTTGCTTTGGCATCATAGAATTGAGTACTTGACTCCAACGAGCTGTTTCTGAAAGGGTGGAATCCACCGTCACATGCATATAATGAAGCTATATAGTGAAAAATTAATATGAATCACAGAAGAAATAAAATAACGTGCAAGCATATATGATGTCATCTTAGAAACAACCTTTATATCTTTTGAGATAGATGTAAGATCTGTGTATATCTTACTCATGAGACATTACCTTTATATGTAATATACTGAGTATGTTTGATTTAGATAGATTTAACAGAAGAAAAATAATGTTAAATACAGATAATATCAGATTTCGAACACAAAAAACATATGTGTTTACTTTTGTAAAATAAAGATTGTACGGATAACTGGTACATGATTGCGACTACAAACCTTGAAAGCTTCCTCGTAGCTTCACACATGCAACTGTACCATCTATTTTGGGCATCGAATGGAATAGGTTCAAAGACGTGTCTATTCTTTTTGTTTTCGGTAATTCGACAAAATACGAATCGGTTGAACGTGATATTCATGATTCATCTGGTTTTCACGAAACTAACGTGTCCTAATTAGTTGGGTTTTCCACTTATAATGCTCCTTTTTATATCTTGAAATGGTTAATTAGATCAAATATTTATGATGAAACATGCCCATACGCGTTATTCGCACATGCACAAACGAACAAAGCCACTGAGGTCCACAAAATTTCCACCAATATTTCATATTTAAGTGTTACTAGAAAAATAGAACCAAATAACTCATTTAAATGATCCATCTATTTTTTAATCTAACAATTATGATAACCAGTAATAACTGTATCCTGTTAAAATTAATTCCACAATTATAAGAATAGTTATATTCGAATCAAGGTTATCCAAATTATCTGTTTTTTATCCAACAATTAATACAGATTTTCTTGTTTTTCGTGGTTTTTTTTTTCTTGAAATAATTAAACAAAAAAGAAAGTAATTAAAGGGAAAAAAAAGGATAGCTTTATAATAACCATAATAACTACCACTTCTATTAAAATACCCTATAAATAGGATATCAAAAATCATTATAAAATTAAAAAAAAAACCCAATTAAAATGATAATAATATTAAAAGATAAATATAAAATTCTTGAAATTGGAATAATTAATTATTATTTTTTTCAAGAAATTGCCACCCAAGATGAACGCCAATTTGCAAACACTCTGTTCCCATTGCCACCTTCCTTACACCTTGTTAGCCTTTTCAACTCCCCTTTTCCGGTGGGGCGCCCAACTTTCCACCGCCAGCCGCCACCGCCACCGTCCTCCTCCCCTTCCTCCTCCTCCTCCTCCTCTGCCACCGCTGTCACCGCCACGTCGTCATCATCATCAGAAGGAACATATTCATCCTCTAGTGATTCCACTTCACCACCTTCCTCATAATTTTCATTGTTAATCCTTTCAGTTTCGTAATTTTCATATTCAACCCTTTCACTTTCGTTATTTACAGAACAGTCCTTTAACAACGAAAGCTTCAATCTCCCATTTATACGTTCAGCTTTAAAGTTAGTACCACAGCTAGAAACACTAACAGCTTTTATGACCAACCGACCACCTTCCCGGTGATGCCTCACCTTCACCGTACCATCGCTGCCGCTGATGGAGGTCAACGGCGGCGGAAACTCACCTCTGTGTACTTTCCGGTCGAAACTCCGGTAACATTTCGACACCCGAACCGCTCGAACCCGTTCTCTTTCCTCCATAGAAAGCGAACAAAACTCATCGCCACTTTCACTAACATCACTCCCAGTTTCACTTCCCAAACTCTCCGTACACATTTCCAAACTCTTGGTACTCAATGCAGAAGCTGAACGTTTCACCATTGGATGAACATAAACCTCATTGGAATCTTGAAGATTCTTGACCGCCATTGATGGGTTTTCAAGAGCTTGAAGAAAACTCCATTTCCTTCCGCCATTGTTGAACTCTTGAGGTGGGTGTTCTGATGATGATTTGGGTAAGTTTTTTTGCTGGAAGACAAAGGATTCCGTAACTTGATCAGGCTCAAGGCAAGATTGAAGACCTTGATAGACGATTACAGAAGATGAAGCCATGAAAGAAACCTTGAAAAAAGACGAAGAATTTATAGATATATATATGTATTGAAGAAATTAAAGGGTTGGAGAAATGAAAACCCTTTGAGATGATTCAAAAGGGTTAAAAAATGGGGTTAATTTGAAGGAAAATAGATAAGATTTTGTGGTATGGCATGACAAGAGGGTGAGAAGATGAAGGGGGTATTTATAGGTGCAAAAAAGGGGAAGTGGGTTCTTGAGAATGGGGAGGGAAAGGCAACTTTCTAATGCAACCGGAATTTATGCAACTTTTTTACATGTCCACACATTTTATTATCAAGAAAAAGAAAAAGGAATATAACTTGCTCTTCAAAACATTTTGGTTTTTTTTAATTAAATTTTTTGAATTTTTAATCTTGTATATTTATTATTATTATTATTATTATTATTATTATTATTATTATTATTAAAATGTATGTATCACGTGATACCAGATTGTTTTCGTGAGAGAAGAAAAGATAACATTAAAATTTAGGAGCAAAACGTTGTGAAGGTACGAAGAACATCGAAYATTCACAATAAAAACACTGTGAAGGTTTGTTTGCCTTCAAAATGTTCAGTGTTATTTTTATGGTCTTATAAGTCTCGTAAAAACAAGATGGTCTCACATCATCTTAAAAGTCTATCTCTCTCTCTCTCTCTCTCTCTCTCTATATATATATATATATATTGATCATGAGTAGTGATACGTTAATCAGGTAAATTTTCAAGTTCACAGGGGTTTTGACTATGACTAGATTCAAATCTACGAATGATGAACCACAAGGGTGATGTCTGATTGGTTTGAGTTTGGCTCCAAATGTCAAAAGTACCAGGAGGTCTCATGTTCAAATCCAAAGAGGAATAAAAATCCCCTTGYAGCCACGGAGGTTCAAATGCGGTGACTTTGTGCTATCTACAAAGCAGGTGGTCGTCCTGGGATTAGTCGACTCACATAACGGGTTGGATATCCAAGTTAATTAAAAAAAATCTACGAATGATGAAATTTCCACTACATCCTCCTAAGTTTTAACCAACATGCCACAAGACCTACAACCCGCATATTTATCTTTTTAATGTCATATTAATCAAATTCTTAAAAATATAAAYGTTAAATAACTAAAGAAAACAACCATATTGTACTTTATTATAAATTATTAACAAAGCCAATATTTATAGTTTATTAATCTTGAAAATTATTTCATCCTGATTAATTGTTATAACTAACCATSATTATGTAATTCTTTACATAAACAAAAGAAAAAATACCAAAAGCTGTTATTTTGAGATTTCAAAATTCAAAATATACTGTTTCTTATGTTCTCGATAGTGATAGTGAGCTGACAAATTTATTTTAAACTTAAATACAAAAGTAATCATTTGATGCTTATACCCTAAGTTATATTCAAATATTGAGTTGGTATTGCAAGATGATGAGAAAAAAGTAGAGGGAAAATTAGAAAGGGGCATGACTAAGTTGTCATAATCTATCAAAACAAGATAAAAAATTGAAAATTTGGGAAATTGTGTGGCACTTTGGGAAAAGGGAAATTAGTTGGGGGCTATAAATGTGAAGACTTTAAATTTGATTGGTTGCTTTGGGAAATACCCAAATAACCAATTGGCCATTAACACTTTTATTTTAGGGGTACAAAAGCATTATGATTGGCACACTCTTCTTTTATAAGCAAAAGTGAGCCTACTAAGGGACAAGATCCCCTTGGTGATCTTTTAGGTCATTACTTTGCTTTGCATTCCTCCTCTCAAATTAGTGCCTTTTTATCACATCTTTGTTTTCATGTTTGCCTCACTCCACTAAGGTCAAACCCTATGTTGGAATGTTGGTTTAGAATATTGGTACACCAACCAACCACTCGCGTAATCTTTCTTCTCGTTTAATTATGATCATACTATAATGGGTTCTGATTCAAACGGTGGAAAGTTAGTTGCTGGTTTGTGAATGGTCATTCGGTTGATTTAGTGGTTTTAGAAAGATAATGTTGGTTGGAATGATATGGAACTATACAAAACTGATGATACGACTTGTTAACTTGACTGATACGTCGATAAATCAAAGTTGGCTAAAGAAAGCTTGCCTTGGCCTCTTTGTCACCTATCAGAGTTGTAATGCAGAGTATCAACAATACCGACGAGAAAACCTGTTAACTTGGTTGGTTTTAAAACTTGTAAGGGTTAGTACGTCACTATACGCAAGTTGGGGGAGCAAGATTCACGTTGAAAACTTTGTTGCTTTGTCTCAAAGGAAGGGCTCAAATGATTAGATATGTTTAAGGTCTACATGATCGTTTTTCATTAAAATTTCACGGGTTAAACAACCTTTCATCGTCACTAAAGTGTCATGTTTTAGCAACCACAAATAAGTAGTGAAAGTAACATAAAAAGATCACAAAAATCCCAAATCGTGGAATCCACTTTTGACCAATATTAGTGCCCTCTTTTGTATATCTAGCTAGAATGAACTTTCTTTCATACAAGTCAGTATTATACTCGAAAAACATAGCAAAGTATATGTACCGCKCCTAACTCCATGGATCACATCGTGGTAACGAATAACTTAATCAATGTAGATTCAGGGTCTTGTTTTTGTGATTTATCAAACCCACAAAAACGCGGTCGAAATCAAGCCATCTAGACACATTGCAAGTTGCAACTTGTTCCAATTTGGAAATTTGTGAACCTCAACTTGAATTGGGCCCAAAATCTCAAGAAGCCCAACCCAACAAACAATRAATGGAGTCATGTAACACTTTATGGTTCATATTTATTATTTTTGCATTTTAAACTTGAGATTTAAATAATAATTTAAAAATTATGGCCTACAAAATATTGATTTATAAATAAAATTAAATTATAAATTGCCTCAAAAATATTATATATATATATATATATATGCAAATATTTGTTTTAATTTCAGGCAAATAAAACTTTTGTAACTCTATATTTTTATTAGCCTACTGATAATAAGATAATGATATTTAATTTAATAATCAAACATATTTTAAAAAAGTACTCGACATGTTAAAACCAGTAGACCAAAAAAGCAGCTTTCATGAAAATGTACTTATTAAAAAAATCCAGTTTAAATTCTTTGATTGGATTGCTCCAACCGTCCAACATTTAAAAATCAGTCTATTAAAATATTAAATAGGCATGGCAACGGRGCAAGGATGGAACGAGTTTTTTAATCCCCGGCTTCGGCCCCGGTCTCCGRCGGGTATGAGGATTAATATCYCGTCCCCAGTTTATTTTATAGTCAAATCTCGATCATCGTCTTCGGTCAAGACCTAATTTTAGAAATAAATTGTATATATACATATATTATATAAAATATATATTGATAAGATTATATAGCGGGTACGGGGCGGGACRAGAGATAGGCTACCCGGCCCTAGCCCTAGCCCCAACCCCKGTTTGAGTCTACCGAGGATCCCCAGTCCCAGCCCGGGGACCCGTTTTAGCGAGGGATCTCCGTCTCCGTTCAGGTCAAATGGGCCGGGTTTTTCATTGAATYGGGATAAATCACCATCCCTACTCACAGAGTCGTTGATCCTTCTACTTGGTCTTTATTGTTTTGCTCTTGTTTGTTTCTTGTGTCCTCTTTGATAAGTGTTACTATCATATTTCTAAAATAAATATAAGAAGAATGTATTAACAAATAAAATAATAAGTTTAAGGTATTAAAACATAAAAAAGAAAGAACCTTAATCATAAGCATATATAGGGGAGAGAGAGAGAGAGAGAGAGAGAGAGAGAATGAGTTCTTAAATACTAAAACAGGAAAAAGGAGCCGACATTTATTTCCTTTTTAGTGGTGGATCCCCACTACTAATTATTCAATGTTTTTTATACCCTTAATATTATATATATATATATATATATATATATATAGACTTGATATCATGTGAGGTCAATGGTTTTTCGTGAGACTCGTAAGACCAATTCTCAATCTTTGGATTAGATCTACAATATGAAAATCTAAACATTCATAAATACCACGAGACTTCTCAATAATTATAAAATTGTCACCGTGCAATTTAGACCATTAGATCATTAACTTATAAAGTTGATCAATGAACATAAATTGGTCTTACGAGTCTTACGAAAAACTTTTGGTCTCACGTAAACCCAACCCTATTTTATATATATATATATATATATATATATATATATAATAAGTCAACTGTTTCCCCATGCAATTAAAAATTGTTAAAGTTAATTGACAGAGAAGAGATTAAATAATGGTTTAAAATTGATTGGAATTAAATGGGAGGCATTTTCAAACAGGAGGTTGATTAGAA